CTGAGCTGAGCTGCACAAAGCTTCCCCACAGTGGAAAAAAGGCAGCAGGCTCCTTCTCTCCAGGTTTGTGCATATGGCTTACTGCTTTCTGCATCCTATCGCTGGCTGACAGCACGCCGTTCTGCCTGGGAAAGCCTCTGATGTTGTCAGTGAGGGGATAGGCAGCCCGTACACCGACCGTGAAGGAAGGGTGTGGGAGGAGGGAGTCCTAGCGGAAGGGGCCGTTCCCCTGCTAAAGAAAGTCAGTCAACGTCATCTGCAGAAAGAGGGGTGTCACACGATGTCTTCAGCAGAGCGCTGTGGAGGAGAAGACCCCAGGCTCAAGAAATGGCCCCAGTTGCATAGGAAACCCCTGTTATACTGGCCAGTGTCTATCACTAACCCACCCAGGAGCCTGCGCCCAGTGTTGTCCCGCAGAGCCAGCCGAGCTTCCCTCTCGGTCACGTTGTAGCTGATGTTCAACAGCTGGATAAGGAGGATGTATCCCATGCCAGCTGTTACAATGGCACAGTACCACACACAGGTGAACGACAGAGCAGAGCTGGCAGCAGGGAAAAAGATGGGAAGGAAGCCATTTAGTTTTGGAGCAGCTGCTTTAGAGTGACTTTCCCTGGTAATCACTATCCTTTCAAATCCCTGTCTACATCTGCCACAGTGATCTCACTATGCTGCTTTCATCAGATAATCCTTAAAGGCTTTCTCAAAATTAAAGCTTCAGGGCTTACTTAATGAGAGCTTTTAGCACTACTAGAGCTACTCTTGCACGCTGCTGTTGTACTACCTAGCTCTTTACTCTTACTGTTGTAAAGGTACTCGGTCCTTATTTAAGGACACAACGATGCTCACGCTCAGTAGATCATGAAATGGAGTATAGAAGAAGGTAGAGCCACTTGTGCTAGCATACTCTGCCCATCGGTGGTAGCGCCAGTCTCTGAACTCGTGTCCAACGCTTCTCACCACCCTCCCTGCCAGACAAGGCGTATGAATGCTGCCTGTTTTAAGCAGGTAACTCGGAGGGACAGTCGCTAGATAAACAGCAAGGGATGAGAGGGAGAGACAGCATCCAGATTCCAGACTGTCAGACCATTACCTACGTCTGGAGGCAAACATATTTAAGGGTATATCTATATAGGACATAATAAATAAAGACTTCAAATCCCACCTCCTCCAACTTTTTCCAAATAAATGGTGAGCTCTCTCCAAGTCTCAGGCTCCCCACCTTGGCAAAAGCAGTGATGCATCTGTGCTTTCCAGAGCTTTTTAGGGAGCACTTTTTGGTCAGGTTTGACAGCCAACAGAACTGGCCTAGAGCACAGACTGAGGAACAGGAGCTTAGCTGCCTAGCCAAGCCCGTTCCCACCCCAGCTCTCACCCAGACAGACGTCTCACCTGTAGTCAGAATAGGCCCCGGGGCAGTAGAACAATGCCACAAACGGAGTTCTGCCCCTACAGACGGTGTGCAGGGTCAGTGTAATCCCATAGACAGAGGTGAGCATGAAGAAGGAGAGCGCCAGGATGAATGCTTGGTGGTTCTGCTCCCCTACACAGCTGTTAATCCTCCAAAAGGAAAGAAGAGATTACTTTGCTTAAAAAGAAAAGAAACTGGCTTCTCGTTCCTCCTCCCTCCCCCAACTGTCAGAGAACCTAATTTCCAAGGTGCTTCGATACAACACAGGCTACAAACTGAAACACGTTCAAAGAAGCTTTATAGCTTTTTATAGAAAGGTTATAGGCACAAGTCAATAAACCAGTAGGGTAACGGCGGTAGGCCGTTTGCCTCAAACTTTCAGCAAGTGTAGTATCCTTCACTGAGACACATCTATACCCTGCTGCTCCTTGGTTCCAGTACTGCATGCGCACAGGCAGCTGGGGGTTCCCTTGCCCCAGGAGGGCACTAATGCAAATTGACTACAGAATTGCTGGTGCTCCACAGACCAAGTCTTAAACAAACAAACAAACAAACAAACAAACAAACCAACGTCTTAACAAACAAAAACACACCAAAAAACCACACCAACCCCAGATGGAAACCAGCAGAGAACCGAAGGCTGTTCTGAAGCATGCTGTAGAAGTTATCAGCTATCAGGTCAACCCACTTACAATAAACAACGTTGGTCTTGCTCATAACAACAGTAACCCCATTTGACAGGGGCTGTAAAAAAAGAAACTAACTTAAAAAGGGGGGGAAGAGAAAGAGAAAGAGAGCGTGAGCATACGTAGCCTCAGCAGTGCAAAACCTACCAGACACAGTGATGGTCCAGTCTCCTTACACACCTGCCACAAAGCCGGCAGTGCCCTGCTCGGGCTGGCCTGACCAGCTGGCATTTGGTGCACCAGTCCTTTTTCACACCTTCTGGCTCCTCAGCCGACATCCTGGAATAGCCTTTGGCCTCCCCGTTCGCAGCCCGGCCGCTGGCAGCGCCTGACGCGGTGACGCCATGGAGCCCCTCGGAGCTCCCCCTGACGCCATGGAGCCCCTCGGAGCTCCCCCTGACGCCGCTGCTGGGCAAACCCTGGTGCGATGACTTCTCGTTGCTTGCTGGGGTGGGAAGGTAGCCGGGGTCCTTCTTGGCTCGAGACAGGGCTGCAAGCATAAGGACTAGCCCGCAGGTGAGAGCGACCACTTGGGAATAGCCCACGCGGCCGCGGGGAACCACCTCCTGGAGAAACACATAGTACATGTAGCCCAAGGAGAACAGCCCCAGGCTCAAGAAGAAGAGTGTCCGTTCCTTCCTCCGGTGGGTGAGGTAGTAATACCACAGCACCACGACGGGCAGAGACGTCAAGACGACGAACCCCAGCAGGACGTGCAGAGCGGCGACGTGGAGGAAGACGGGCAGCAGAACCAGCGGCGGCACGAGGCTGACCTTGATCTTCACGGCCCCGGCGAACCAAGGGACCCGCAGCCGGTCCGCCACGGCGTCGGCGATCCGCTCCAGAGCCCCCGGGGGCAGGGATCCGCACGCCAGCCACCTGCCGCGGGGGAAGCACGGATAGCAGACGCGGGGCCCTTCCCCTGCCTCGTCCCGCCTCCCCCTTCCCTCTCTCCCGTCGAGTTTCCCGAGAAGCGGCGCGCAGCTCCGCTCCCCTCAGGGGAGCCCGGCGCGGGTGGCGGTGCCGTTACCTCTCGCAGCCCTCGTCCAGGTCCTGGCAGTCGCAGCAGCACGCCGCCAGGTGGTTCCTCTCGCCCCGCCGGTCCACGTATTCGCAGCAGCAGAGGGGCTCCTCCATCGCCGCCCGCCCCTCCCCCCGCCGC